TTCCCAAAGGATCCAGCACTGTTTAATAAGTGGCGTCAAGCATGCGGAAAAGAAAATATTTCACCAAAATATGGTTTGTACTTTTGTATAGATTTCTCTTGTTTATTATTATAAGCATATATTTAAGAATCTTAAACCTTGTTTGCTTCAGCTAGGATATGTTCGAAGCATTTTGCTGATGAAGCTTTTACGAAGCCCTTACAAGAACATCTACTAGGTTATTCACCTACACGAACTAGGAAGATACATCCTGATGCTATCCCGACGTTGCATCTCCATGCAGTACCTCCACTAACATCAAACGAAAATGTGTTAGCTGAAACAATGCCTTTGCCTGTATCAAATGAAGTTTCGATGGATGTTGAACAGACACCAGCATCGTCCAGTATAGAAGAACAGACACCAGCATCGTCCAGTACAGAAGAACAGACAGCAGCATCGTCCAGTACAGAAGAACAGACACCAGCATCGTCCAGTACAGAAGAACAGACAGCAGCATCGTCCAGTACAGAAGAACAGACACCAGCATCGTCCAGTACAGAAGCTATCATGTTACAAATGTAAGTTATAAATTACTGTTCCCATCAAGCACAAAGTATACCCAGCAAATAAGAACCGTATATGTGTCAGTAATATAACATCGATATGTAATGTCAGCTCAACCATATTTACACAGTTACATAACAAACCACATAAATGTGCTGACATTACATATCGTTATTATATTACTAATACATAAATATATATAGTTCTGGTTTGCTGGGTGTAGTTTTAAAAGTAGCACTATATAGTTTTATGCTTTCAGACGTCGTCTAGAAGCCCAGGTAGCCACACTGAAAAAACCAAAAGACGATAAAGAACTCATGGAACAAAAAATGACGGAGTTATTGGGAAAAATGTTTAGTCCAGGACAAATACGGATGATATTGAATCCTTCATTGCGGAAAATAAAGTGGTCTTCTGAAGATATCGCACGTGCTATATCCTTGCGATGTGTCAGCCCAAAGGCATATCGTTATATGAAGAATGTTTTGCAAATGCCACTTCCAGGCCTTTCAACACTAAGAAGGCAAATCGAACGAATCGATCTTTGTATCTCCTCTTAGCTGTGATGTCGAAGAGTCCGTGTTAACAGATATGCTTGCGTCCTATGTTGACGAAAAAGTTACTACTATAACTAGTTATGAAGAAGAAGAGATATGTTTTGATGAAGCATATGAACCTTCTGCGTTGGATTCGTGCGCAATTATTCCAAGTTATGAGGAAGAACAGTTGTTACAGAAATTAGAAGATTTTAATATTAGCGAGGCTATCGAAGAAGAGGGTTTAAAATATATAGCCGGATACGTAGCATTTAGATTTAAAAGCACAGATAAAACATTAGGTATTGAAACGCGCCAATTGGAAACAACGGGTGACCAAGATTGGCTGCAAGTTATTTCGCGAGGAAAATGTATGTATCCGAGTGACAAATTATTACAATGTGCTCGTATAATGAATATTGAGTTTGCTAAATATCACGGATCCAGTTTGAATAAAGAAAATCTTATATTTCAAAACTTAGCAAAAATAATAGAACCACAATTGAAAATTAAAATACCGAGAGAGGCATTACTATGCCTCATTAGGACTAGGACATATATTAGGCTGCGCGAAATGAACCGAGCGATTGCAAGCGCAAATCACAGGCAAAAAAGAAGAAAGATGTCAAAATTTACTAATAAAAAACCTGTATATTAAATATTTGCATTTATTGTTATTTGATCTTTTATCTGCATCTTTCCTCTGCATATATAGTTCTTTATGTCGTACGCCACAATATATTTTTGTTTTGCGTCTCAGCTGACAATTCTTTTCCAATCGTTTTCCGACCAGTTTTGATTAAAACTAATAATTCGCAGAATTTTAATAATAAATGACTGGAAATTAAAATCTCGTTTTATGTGAAATTTTTCCGTACGTCGCAATGATTTCTATTCAATGCACACAATTCTTTTTTTCTTAATAATAATAATATTTTCTGTAATATCATATATTTAGACAAATCCACATAAAATAATTTTAAAATTCGTCAAATAACAATAACGTTTCTAACATCTACAACGAGAGACAAATTCGGGAAACGATGAGCGTTTATCCGTATGTCACGTGCGTTTTTTTATATTTATATATTTTTGTTCATATATATTTATTTATTTATAAAACAGAATTTTCTCTCACATAAATGATCAACATTATTTTGTATTCACATATTGTCCGCTCAAAATGCTTTTATAAATGACTATTATAGATTCGCTGCTTAAATGTGCCGCTCAGTGTGACGTAAGGTTGCAAAAGTCGCTGATTGGCTGGGTTCGGAAATATGCGCAAGAGCATACCCTTGTATTTCTACCATGATCCCCTCCAGCTGGGTAGTTCGGACACGAACCACCAAAGACAGACAATATCGAAAAGTGGATGTGGCTCGTAGTTCCAATTCCTGAAAGTGGATGTGTGGCGCTACTGTACGGCCTAGCAAAAGCGTCACAAGAAAATCGCCGTCATTGCGCCTCTCATATTCTTCTCTCTGGTGA